TAATTAAAAATAAACGTAGATTAGTTTGGCAATCAAAAATCAATGGACAAAAGACTATCGTTACAATAACCTAAATACCCTATCTGTCAATAGTTTTAGTTTTAAAATCAAATTAAATAAGGGTTGAAATTAAAAATTCGAGAAGCTACAAAGCATGTATCATTTAGCACCTCGGTTTCAAAAACATAATCTTTCAGGAACACCAGAGCACGTTGGCCCTGACACCTACACAATATGCTTCAGTACCTGTAAGCGACAGAGTAAGTTTTCCTTTTAGGAAATTCTGATATTTTTTAAAACATTTAAGAAAGATTCACAAATAATACATATTATACTATAAGTGGTTTTTGGTTTCGAAGTTTTGACCAAAATAATTGAGTGAGACCCACGATTAACATGGTATCGAAAACCTCTAGCCGTCTAGTTGTAATTGAATATAATTTTCTAGATAATGTAGATTTTGGTACTATAATTTTTCATCGTGTTTGCACTTTAAAAATTTCTATTCAAATAATAAAACATTGAAGTCTGCCCAAAATCTTTTATTGAGAAACTCAAGAACAAAAAAGTTATCTAATTTATTTATTTATTTATTTGTAAAGTTAAGTTTTATTTCCACATCAAAGCAACGAAAAAACTTCTTGAAGAAAAGTTTTTTGAATTCAGTTATGTCGTAATATTGAAATTCATGATTACTTCAACTTCTTTGCTATTCTCTTCTACACAATACATTAAAAATATTGAAAAAGAATATGTTGAATATTATTTCTTAAGGATTTTTTGTTACGGTTTATAGCACTTTCAGCATGTAAAATAGCTAATTTATGAATATTCTACTTTCTATTCTTATTGTCATCAAAACTAAAATAAAAATATGGAACAAAACATGTTGGAATAGAATGCATAATTTTTAATTCATAAACCAAGGTGTAGCTCTAATGATTTATTTTTTATTTTAGAAAACAGAGCCCCTTTTCTCAGCTGTGAGGGTCGCAAGTTTTCCATCGCTCGACCTGTTTATACGCACGCTCTTTATTCATATGATACTCGAAATCGAATAATTGTGAGTTACAGAAATTTTCAATGTTTCTATTCCTACTTCTTTTTGACTGCTAAGAAGCTTCTCAAAAAAAGATTTAACGTTTTCTAAAACAAGAACTAAAAAGTGAAAAATTAACTAAAATGTTTTATAAATGCTAAAAGCAGAAAAGAAAATTTTAACTTTAATTCATATCTGCATTAGGGATGATGATTAGAGTAGAGGATAATGGGTCACTGTTTTACGTAATTGTATGAATTTTCGTTAATTTATTTCACTTTTTGAGGTAGATAATTTCCACTTTGTAGGGAGGCGCATCTATAAACTACACAGCAGAAAGGAAAACGATAGTTAAAACTCGAGCTCCAGGTCCCGGAGATTATGAACCTAAAATAAACGTTTGCCGAGCAGTCCGCGAAATAAAAGGAAAAGGAAGAGTGTATTTATGCAGGGTACCGTACAGTCATGAAATAGGTACACCCTCAATACCCACACGTATTAACGAAAATGGTTACAACATAATTAATGGAAGACTTGACAGAATTCCTCCGGATGATTACGATGAAACGATCGGTCCTGCTTTTTATTGTGTTCCATCAGTACGTATTGCCACAATTTCCCATTTTTTTGATCAGATGGCAAAAATTGAAGAGCTATCTAAAGGGTAGACAGATCTTGAAACAAATGAAATAAAAAAAAGTATTTATAGGATTGTTTGGAAAGTCATTTCGTTTTTTTTTTGTGGAAATGAAAGACAGTTTTCGTATAATAAACAAATTAACACATCAACTAATGCCTTTATCGCGTCTTTATCAGCTTCAACCGGCCTTCCCGAACGTGGTGCATCTTTGACATCAAAATTGCCGGATCGAAATTTAGCGAACCAGTTCTGNGAAACAAATTTCTGCACAATTTTCGTAAAAATTAACTTTTTAACTGATTTAAAAAAAAAGAGGAGATTTTCAATTTGAATGTTACGCGATTCGTTCATCTTTTTTTATTGGATAGGTTATTTATTTTAGGATCTTGGCTTCTGTATGGTATGGAAAATTGGGGATGATTCCCGCTTTTAACTCCTTAGTTTATGTTTGTACATATAGGCAAAGTACTGATGTTGACTTTTCTACGTAACTAAGATATTTCAATCATTTCGCACTTTTAACTTTTTATTTTAGTAGACGGTCTACCTCTGCCTATACCTTAATATTGTGGCCTAATATCTGCACTTGGATAATTATTTATGCAGTTTACAAGAAAGAACGATTAATAACGCTCTCTAAGTACATAACCATAGCGATAATGACTTCGCTCGTGTTGTCTTTTCCTACTGGGACAATCGATTAAAGCTTAGACGATTCAAGCTTGTTATAGTAAAAGACAACATGAACGAAGTGTGTATTACCTTCGTCGTGCCCTTCTTATTGTACATTTAGAAATATGAAACAAATCCGTAACGATAGACCGCACAACTGCTATCGGTAGACCGCTTACTAAAGTAAATCATTTTTCGACCCACCCTGTATACGTTATAACATTCGCGGTTAGATATGCATTTTACATGTCGGAATTTATTATTAATTAGTCTTGATGTTTACCTACCATCTTCGGTTCGATGTGTCCATCTGGCTTGCAGGTAAGTACATCATTCACGCTCGCATTTACGTCGGGCTTTTTTAATAGCGTCACTTTTTTTTATTGCAACGTGACCGTCGAGTCCGTCGTGCATCTTCACTCTCGATGTTGCGATGGATGTCAAGGCGTTTAATTTACGAATTGAAGAAGAGGAAACGCGTGTTATTTAATGAGCCGCGTGGGCGTCTGCCTGGTATTTCAGTTCGCTTAATTTGAGTGAGAAATGCCCCTCATAAACAGTGGGAAACATGCAAAACGCGCTCGCCGCCGCTTTATTCTAATTAAGACGAGCGAAACAGAGCTCATCGGACACCGTCACCGACAACTGCACCGGCGTTTAAACGTGAAAAAAAATACAATGTAACAGGGATGGACCGGGTACCCGGTTTGGACCCAGTACCAGGCGCATCCGGTACTTTTTTTAGGATCCGAATAAAGATCTGCGTCTGGCAATTCTACCAGAGAAATAAGAACACCAGCAATAAGAAAAGGATAGAAGCGTTCGAAATGTCGTGTTATAGGCGAATGATGAGGATACCGTGAATAGAGAAGGTTTGAAATGAAGAGGTATTAGAAAGAATAGGAGAACAGAGGATTCTATGGAAGTCAATAAGAAATAGGCGAGATAGGTTGGTAGGACATATTCTCAGGCGTGAAGGTGTAGTCAGAGACATATTAGAGACAGAAAAAGGACTTAAGAAGAGTAGAGGTAGACCTAGATTAGGTTATGGGTTGTTCTAGTTTTAGGGAAATGCGAAGATTAACTCATGATAGGAAAAAGTGGACGTGCGTGTCAAACCAGTCTTAGGACCTTATGATGATGACGAAGTATAATAAAAAACCTACCTAATGACAATTCGTAATTTAGATTGTATCGGATAGGTCGTTCGTCTTAATTTATATTATTTGTCAATTACTACATTAAATTATTCGTTATCGTTTATTGGTACATTAGGTTTTGATTAACGCAGATTTTTAGCATTTATAAACATTATAGGCTCGTTTCAACGCGGTTTCAACTCAACCCTCTCGCTGAAAATCCACCGATTAAGAATTAAAATTTCATTGGTTTGATATTTAAACGACTATTTGAACGGAACTTAATGTGGTTTGCGACGTTGGTAAGGGTAGTATTTAATAGAAAGTCTGCCAAAACGAATGCATGAATCAGAATTGTAGTGGCTAGTACCCGGTTATCTGACACTAAGCAAAATCACTATCCGGTGCACCTACAACAACGTATTCTCTATAGCAAGACAGATAATTGACCCAGGGCCATTGTTTTGTAAGGTATACGTACCAATCTTTAATTAATCAATTCAGTTTGACAAGTCAATATCCTTACTCATAAAAGGACCTTGTCAGATATTAATGAAGTCACAATTAGTAAGAAGTTTCAATCGATGGCGTTCACCAGGTAATTTGCAGTTATTCGGTAAACGCTGTTTAAAGGGAGGAAATAAATTGGTCGATGTTTTGTTGGAACTGTCTACAGCGTGCTGATGAGATCCATTGAGATTACACTATAATATGATTTAATTGATGACTCGTGACTAAGTTCTTGATTGGCTAGCTACGTAATCAAACAATGCAAATATTACATGAGCGACGTTTCATAAGCTGTGCAGTTTAAGCCTGCCCTGTTGAAGCAAACTGCAAAGCTTACGAAATTTTGGCAGATAATGAAGCCCGACACGACCGACAGTAAGTACTTCAGTAATGCAATGATTAGCAGTCGTTGTTAAAGCTTAAAATCATTCATTATTTAAGCTTTATTAATTGGTTTTTAAAAATTTCTTTAGCAAAACTGTGCTGTTCATTTCTGATACTTTCTTTCTGGCTTCTTTGAGTTTGATTTTATAATCTGTAAAATTGTGCTCGACAAACCTTTCAACTTATCTTTGTTCTGAATTCCTTCCATATTTCGTATCTCTTGGAACAGAGTTCAAGAAATTCTAATTTGTCACCTTAAGAGTTATCCTGGTTATTATGATACCTTTGTGGAAAATTTCTACATATTTTCACATTAATTATTCTCTAAACCTACTCCGCAGTATATTCTGCATATTTTATCATTGCAAAGACTTGAAGTTTAAACTACAATTTCGTTTCGCAATGTTCCGGGGTGAAAACAAGCAAAACAAACACTTGCCTATCCGTTTATAGCTTTGCAAAATAAAACAACAAAGGCGAAACGGGACTCAAACTACACTAACGTAAACATTTGTCAAAACATAGACGTTCGTTTTTGTCAATTCGTTTTTTTTTTTGCGAACGACGTTTTCGTTCGAAACAAACGTATATTCATGTACGGACATGTTGGATGCATGGGCGTTGGTAATTTATTTCCCGTTTCGCAGCATCGAACGACGATATGGTATAATATGGTACACATGATAAAATTGACGTCACTCTTTTGCATAAAGTTTCATGAATTATTTAAAGGCGATGTGTATGTGAAAATATATTTTACAACAACTTGCCTCTACTTTATGGACAATCCGGTCATTTCTTTCCGCTGCTACGTTATGACAATGTTAAGTGCAACTTGTAATTTCCGATGGGCCGCTCCAAACCCACACCGAAGCGCCGTTTCTAAAGTTTCTTTGTAAGTTATGCGCCTCTAACAAAAGAACTCTTGTCAGAAATTCGTAATGAACTGCTCTTAAATCTTAAATTCTATCGCGGCAGGCCGAGTCGCCTCTCAAGCAGTAGGCATACATTTACATCATTTACAATAATATTTACTCTTGCACCACCGCGTTTTTATTTTTTCTTTAATTATAATGCGTTGTTATTGTCTGGTTTACACGGTTGTTTGTCTAGGGAATTACCTTTGTTTGGTCTGTCTGACATTCAAACGTAGGAGTATGAAAGGGAATACTAGAAAATTGAAATCAGAAGGTGGTCTACGTTATGCATTTAGACTTGAATGCCTCCTCGATTTCCTTCGGTTTTTTAAAGCCTACATTCACCTGCATTAGTACCTATTTTGATTTCCACCTTGTCGTTAATAAAAATAACAATAAATTATTGAAATACACCTCCTAACGTTTGTATTTAAAAGCACAGAGTAATGGGTTTAGTGAGTACCACGTATTAACCATCGTTGCTGGATATCAGACATGTAGATTTTAATGTAAGATGTGCGAAATCATTAACAAATACAATTGTTAAAAAATCCTAATACTTTTTAAAAAGTTACATATGGATATACGAGGGTGGATTGATAAGTTTCCGGCCTGACCAAGAAAAACAAGGTTTTTAAAAATTTTTTTTTTTTATTTCTCAACATAATCTCCTCCAAGGCTGATACATTTCTCATAGCGGTGTTCCAGTCTATTAATGCCATCTCTATAGACTGATTCGTCAAGCTCCTCAAAATAACCATTTACAGCTTCGATTACTTCTTCATTGTCCGCAAATCTCT